GTGACGTCACTGCTGGAAGATGGCAGGAGGGAGGGGCTACTATATTTGGGCAAAAATGGCCGCTCTTTTATTTTTTTACTAATTAACTTTAAATTCATTAAATCACAGCGAACATAATAGTTTTAGGTATAAATAACGATCATTGATTATTCCTTCCTGAACGGACTTTTCCTTTAAGACAGCCATGACTGATTTAAAGCACTTTGCAGAACATTTTAGAATGTTGTTTTTTCGTATATTGTTTATTCATATAAATATACTGGTGTGATACCTTAATAAACATTTGATTGGTTTTTGGTAAACATCTATTTTAAAGTTATTCCCCCCCCTGTTTGGGTCAAAGCAGAACTTTAGAGGTCGTTAGAGAAAATCAGCTCCAGCTTCATCTTATTGATGCATTTTTTGCGGTTTTTCAGGACCTTTTATAAGGATAATAGAGGAAAGTGTTAAATCCTGCTTGGCATTATAAATTATAAACATTTTTCACTTTTCTGTCTAACAGAGCTGAATGGAAATAAACCATAAAGATCCTAAACTGTGACGCGGATTAAAGGAAAACCTCACAGAGGAAACCCTTTGGAAGACAAACCCTAATCGGACCATAAGCCCACGCAGGCCGACCCGCTGGGTCTGGTACCGGGCCGTTCCGCAGGAGGGAACTCAGTGCGTCTGAAGTTCTGATGCAGCGCGGGGAACGCGGGGAACGCTGGAACCGCGCTTCTTTAGAAGGAAGGAGAGTTTCTGTAAACACTGAAACGCTCTGTTTACATTCATGGCTCCTACTGAAACCTGCTGTGTACTCCAGAACCAAACATGTCGGTTCTTATGGGCCGCTTTGGACGCCTTCTAAAACCGAAGCGGTTTACGCGGACAATGACTCGTGCGGCTTGAATCTGAGCGGCCGCCGTGCAAAAGAGGAGGAGGATGAGGGACGGCAGCCGAGCCTCTCTGGATGCTCTGAGAGCAGAAAGAACATCCAGTGGAAAAGACGACCCACATCCGCTGCAGCTCGGCTGCATCTGGTCCATGTGGAGGCGTCTGTAAATAAAAACACACTCTGAACCCCTGACCTCTGACCTTCCTCTCCTCTCGGGCCACTCAGGAAGTGGAGGCGGAGCTTAGAGAAGAGCTGGCTCTGAACCTCAGGATACTTTCCTTTTCAGACATTATGAAGAAATACGGAAATACTCTGCATTCATTATCTGTGCCAGATTGAATAAGTCTGGTCTGCCTGTCAGCCCAGGAGGAAGAGGAGGAGGAAGAGGAGGAGGAAGAGGAGGCCGATGTTCGTATTAAGCCAGAAAACAAACCACATGATGATGAGGAAAAGGTCGGCAAACATACGAGGAATCTAAAATAAATCGGCCCCCAAAGACGTCTGTTGCTTCAGATCCTGATAAACCCTTTAAAATGTTTTTTTCTTTTATTCTGACCTGTAACCACGATAAAAACCCGACATGAACCTTCTCAGCGCTAACTTAGCGTTCCTCCATCTTTCTCTGTCTTTTTAAATCCTGCGCCTCCTGGAGTTCAGGATAAATGAGACTCTGAGCGGCCCGAGCTTTAACTAGGCCTTCCCAAACGTTCCTCCCCCCGATTTCTTCATCTCCAACTTTCTGGCAGAAACCTCAGGAAATATTATGACTTTATTCTTGTTATATAAGGACTTCATTCTGATAATGATGCGACTTTATAATATTAGGAGTTAATTTTTAGGGATGCACGATATAATCGGCCCCCTATCGGTATCGGCCTTAAAACTGAATATCGGACATCGGCCACCCCACCGATATTTAACCCGAT